TTCAATCTTTTCTCTGCTGATAAGAATGTTGTTTATTGGTCCAGTGGTGAAGATTTTTGTTTTCTTTACATTGAGATGCACTCCATACTTAAGGCTGTGCTCTTTAATCTTCATCAGTAAATATTTTAAGTCCTCTTCATTGACTGATACAGAAAAGGCATTTCACAAAATCCAACATCCATTCTGGGTAAAAGTATTCAACATAGTAGGAACATAAGAAAAATGTCTTAACAGACTTAAGAGGATATATCCAAATCCAATGGACTCCTGGTGTGCTGTAGGATCAGCACTGGACTGTGAACCACAAGATCAACAGTTCAAACCCACCAGGTGCTCCTTGGAAACCCTATACAGGGTCGCTATGAGTTGGAACCAACTCAATGACACTTAACAACAACAACATACAAATCCAACAGCCAACATAACTCTCAATGGACAGAAACTGAAAGCATTCCCTTTGCAAACAGCAACCATACAAGGATGCCCTTTATCACCACTCTATTCAATATTGTGTTGGAAGTCTTAGCCAGAACTATAAGACAGGTAAGGGGAATTAAAGGGATCTAAATTGGCAAAGAAGAAGCAAAACTCTCTATATTTGCAGGTGATATGATCCTATACATAGAAAAATCCCAAAAAGTAATCAAGAAAATTATTGGAACTCAAAGAAAGATTCAGCCAAGTGGCATGCTACAAGATCAATGTACAAAAACAAACCAGATTCCTTTATACTAATAAAGACAGCGCTGAAAAGGAAATTAGGAAAATAATACCATTTACAATAGACATCCAAATGACAAAATGCTCGGGAATAAATATAACCAGAGAAAAGATCTATACAAAGAACACTACAGAACACTGCAACAGGAATCCAAAATAGATTTACAAAAATTGAAGAATATACCATGATCATGAATAGGAAGATTTAATATTGTGAAAATGCCAACACTATCCAAAGCAATCTATAGGTATAATACAATTCTAATCTAGATTCCAACGTCGTTCTTTTAAAAGATGGAAAAAATAACTATGAACTTTATATGGAAAATAAAGAGACCTCAGATAAGCAAAGCGCTGCTTAAAGAGAAGAACAAAGTTGGAGGTCTCTTACTCCTGATCTCAAATTTTACTAAACAGCCACAGTGGTCAATGGAACAGAATTCAGAACACAGAAGTAAATCATAAATCCATCCACATACAGTTAGCTGATATTTGACAAAGGACCAAAATGCATTAAATGGAGAAGAGGTAATCTCATCAACAAATAGTGCTTGAAAAACTGGAAATGCATTTGTAGAAGAATGAAACAAGACCCATATCTCACACCATATGCAAAACCAAATTCAACATGGATTAAAGACCTAAATGTAACCTAAAACCATAAAGATCATCAATGGAAAAAAAGAGGACAAACTTAGGTACTCTAATACAAGCTGTAAGTACACAGTCAAACATTACAAAAAACATACAAAGAATAGAAGGAAAAATAGATGCCTGGGACCTCTTAAAAACTAGACACTTAATGTGCATCAAAAGATTTTGCCAATAGAATAAAAAGGGAGTCCACAGATTGGGAAAAAAAGTTTTAGAACAACATATCAGACAAGGGGCTAATATATAAAATTTGTATAAAACTACACCACCACTACAAAAAAAGGACAAACAGCCCAGTTAAAAAAAAGGGCATGGGATAGGAACAGATAGTTCACCAAAGAAGACATTCAGGCAACCAAAAAAATATGAAGAAATGTTCATAATCATTGGTCATTAGAGAGATGCAAATCAAAACAACAATGAAACATCATCTCACCATCGCATTGGTAGCAAAGTTTTAAATAAAAAACAGAAAACAACAAATGCTGGCAAATGTCTGGAGAAACTGGGACCCTCCTACATTGCTGGTGAGAATGTTAATGGTTCAACCACTCCAGAAAATGGTCTGCTCACCATGGAAAGGTCAGTTATTCGAAATCAAAAGAGCAACATTTACCTAAGGACAGAGTTGAGAAGGGATGAAAAGGAGGGTGGAATGGAAATAGGAACCATAGGAGGAAGTGGAATAAGTGTTGTTGCAGGGAAGGGATTGCAATCACTGAGATTAAACAAGGTCAATCCTGGTGTGGCGCTGGGGGTTAATGCACCAGACAGCAAAGCTGTTTGAACAGCAAGGTCGGTGGTTCAAGCTCACCAGCTGCTCCTTGGAAACACTATACAGGGTCACTATGGGTTGGAACAGACTCGATGGCACATAACAACAACAATGATTTGTTGAATGTAAAACTGATGCTCTTGTCTGTAAACCTTCGTTCAATTCCTAATAAAAATTTTAAAAAAGTATATCATGTGATCTCCAGCATGTTTGTTTTTTATCACTAATGCCATATTTTCATACCACTGATTCTTCCTTTTTGTTTCAAATGTTCATGTTCCAATCACCAGTAATTATCAATGCATCTTGATTGTATGTTTCATCAATTTCAGACTGAAGAAGTTGGTTGTGGTTGTTGTTAGGTGCTATTGAGTTTGTTCTGACTCAGTAATCTTATGCATAACAGAATGAAACACTCTGATCTCACGCCATCCTCACAATTGTTATACTGGAGCCCATGTTGTTGTTACTGTCTCAATCCATCTGTTTGGGGGTCTTCCTATTTTTTGCTGAACCTTCCTTTTACCAAGCATGATATTCTTCTTCAGGAATTGGTCCCTCCTGATACTATGTCCGCACCCCCCATGGCTTCTAAGGAGCATTTGGCTGCCCTTTTTCCAAGACACATTTGTTTGTTCTTGCAACCCAAGGTACTTTAATATTCTCCGCCAACACCATGATTCAAATGCATCTATTCTTATTTGGAAAATTGTAGAATTTTCACATGCATATGAGGCAATGGGAAATATCCATCACTTGGGTCAAGCGCACCTTAGTCCTACAACTGAAACCTTTGTGGTGTAACACTGTAAAGAGGCCTTTTGTCGCAAATTTGCCAAATACAATTCATCCTTTGATTTCTTGACTGTTGCTTCCATGAATGTTGATTGTGGATCCATGCAAAATGAAGTGTTTGAAAATTTCAAGGTTGTCTCTATTTATCACGATGTTATTTATTGGTCCAGTTGTGAGGATTTTTGTTTTTTTACACTGAGGTGCAATCCATACTAAAGGCTGTTGTCTTTGATCTTCATGAGTATTTTAAATCCTCTTCACTTCCAGGAAGCAAGGTTGAAGTCTTCCTTCAGTCCTGATGCCACATTCGTCTTCTTTTAATCCAGCTTCCCTGATTATTTGCTCAGCATACAGATTGAATAAGTATGGAGAAAGGCTATAGCCCTAGTACACACCTTTCCTGATTTTAAAACATTCAGTATCTACTTGTTCTGTTCTAATGATTGCCTCTTAGTCTGTATACAGGGTCTTCATGAACACAATTACTTGTTCACTGAAATATTATCCATAGTTTTTCATGATCCATGCTGTCAAAGCCTTTGCATATTCAATAAAACACAAGTAAACATCTATCTGATATTCTCTGCTTTCAGCCAAAATCCATCCTATGTCAGCAATGATAGCCCGCCTTCTACATCCTCTTTTGAATCTGACTTGAATTTTTGGCAACTGCCTGCCAATGGACTGCTGCAATAGTTTTTAAAATTATCTTAAGTAAAATTTTATTTGCATGTGATATTAATGATGATTTCCACATAATGTAGGGTCACCTTTCTTTGGAGTAGGTACAAATATGGATCTCTTCAAATCAGTCTTCCAAATTTCTTGGCATAGATGAATGAGTGCCTCAATTTGCCAAAAGATTTCAATTTGTATTCTGTCAGTTCCTGGAACCTTGTTTTCTACCAGTGCCTTCAGTGCAGCTTGGACTTTTTTCTTCAGTACCATCGGTTCTTGATCTTATGCTACGTCTTGAAATGCCTGAAAGTCGACTATTTCTTTTGGTACAGTGACTCTGTATATTCCTTACATCTTCTTTTGATGCTTTCTGCATCATTCACTATTTTGCTCATAGAGTTCTTCAATATTGCAAGTTGAGGCTTTCATTTTTATTTCAGTTCTTTCAGCTTGAGAAATGCTGAGCAGGTCCTTCCCTTTTGGTTTTCTAACTCCAGGTCTTTGCACATTTCATCATAATACTTTGCATTGAAGAAGTTGGTAGAATTCTTCAATTTCATCATCATTTATTAGTTGGTTCGTAAATTTGAATAATAGTGATATGAACTGGGGTCTTCCTTGTGAGCATATGGATATTATCCTGTCACAAACAGCAATGTAAAGATAGATCTTGAAATTCTTTTAGATGATGAATGTGACACAATTTCTCTTCATTTTTTCTTTCATGGCACAGTAAACCATATGATTATCTAATTCACAATAGTATCTGTCTGTTTTAGCTCACTAATGCCTAGGATGCAGATCTTTTTGTTCCATTTCTTTTTTAACAAGTTCCAATTTTCCTAGGACATTCTGACTACTAATGAATATTTGCAGAATGTTCTCCACATTTTAAATTGTACACCATCAACAAATGAATGTCCCAAAGGTTTGCTCCATAATGTTATTATGGTTAATTCTGTTTTGAGGTGGTAGTTCTCCCCTTTGTATTGTGAGGACCTTCCAAACTGATATAGTGCCGGCACTGTTTTAGACAATGTTTTGCTGAGGGTTCATCTTCCAGCACTGTATCAGACAATGTTTTGCTGTTGTTCATGAGGTTTTTCAGTGGCTAGCCATTTAGAAGTCTGCCTCCTTTTCTAACTGATCTGACTTAGTCTGGAAGCCCCATTGAAACCTGTCCAGCATGGGTGATCCTTCTGGTAGTTATACTGGTGGTATCACAGCAACATATAAACTAGCACAATAGGGCAAGCTGACAACTGAGTAGTGGAATTTTGAGTTCTTGTTAAATGAAAACAAGATTAGGTTCTTAAGTGTTTTAATACTAAAAAAGAAAATAAAACAATAACCAGTGCTGGGTTCTGTTGATGTGTAGATGGGAGCCTTCTCTTCGCATGACTCCTGATCAGGCCCTTAAGCATGCTTGGATTCATGAGTCACGGAGTTTCAAACCCCAACCTAGGACTCAGACCCTGAGGAAGCTCAGTCTCAGTTTCCCCTCGGAGGAAAAGAAGAACAAGGTTCAGGGGCATCACCTCTTGGCCCAAAAAGGTACAGTTCCTCCAAAAGCCAGTCCCATTCCCAAAGGTCAGGGCCCTAGGCATCGCTGAAAGATTTGCATGTCAATTTCCCCGAACTGGATCTTGGTGGTCCAGTTATTTGGGCTACGCCACTACAGACTTCCATTTCTTTCCTGCCTACAGGATTTTCCTCCTTCAGGATTTTTGCCTCTAGCAGGTTTCTCCTATCTTTTTGCCCATTATCCTTAGGATGTTCAATTTACTCCTATCTTCTAATTCCCAAATAAGCCCTGGTGGTGCAGTGGTTAAGTACTTAACTGCTAACCCAAAGATTGACAGTTTGAATCCACCAACCACTCCATGGGAAAACGATGTGACAGTCTGCTTCTGTAAAGATTATATTCTTGGAAACCTATAGGGCCACTCCCCCTGTCCTATTGGGTTGCTATGAGTAGGAATTGACTCAATGACAATTAAAAAATACATGTATCATTACCACCACCAGGATTTCCAAAACCCGTGACTGCCTAATGGACAATGAAGTTCATATTTACATACAACCTGTTCTTTCTCTCTCTCTCCATGGGCAGATGAAATCACCAAAGAAGAGTCTACAGACAAAAGAAGAGATGGAGCCACTTTGAAGCCAGTTCCAAATGCAGGTGATCAGCAGGGCTCTCTGCAGCATGGTGTTGATGTACAGCTGCCTCATCTAGCAGAAGCTACTAGAAAGTCAGAGGCAGTTGAGACAGAACAGTCCCTGACCTCCACAGGAGATCAAAGCAAGAACTCCTCCCCCAAGAACACAAATATTTTACCACCCATTGTATGATCTTTGCTGAGGGCGCACCCTGTTCTTTTCCATCAGTGATTTGTATTAGAGACAGCATTTATATTGTACAATACTTCAGATTGTTGTTTTTTAAGACATAAAGGTTTGTTTAAAAAAGAAAACAAAGCTATTCAATTGACATGATTCCTCTTATGAGGGATGAAGAAGAATGTCCTGTGCCTTCATTCTTTCTCTCTGCCCCCAAACCAGATAAAACGAGTGGTTTTTATACTCAATGTTATTGCTAGTTTAATAATAATGGTTTTTATACTTAATGTTATAGCATCATTAATGGAGCTATAAATAGATTTTCCTTCTTTCAAGACTGTTACCTTTTGTCAGTCAGGGGTCTTGTCTGAAAATGACAAGTTGAATTCAAATTAGTTTAAGCGACAAAGGGATTTATGTAACTGGAAAGTCAGGAGGGATGGATATTGTTTCAGGCACAGCAGAATCTTAAGAATTCAAGCAATATAAATTTGCTTCTCTTTATGGTTAACTTTGATGATGGCCTTTCCCAGAATGGATACCCACCAACATACTTTCAAAAGATGTAGTCTTCCTTGAAGGCAGCCAGGGTCCCAGAAATGGCTGTCTGGCATAGGCATAGATCATATGCCTATAACTGAACCAGTCACTGAGAGACTGGGATCATCTGATTGGGTCACAAGACATTATAGCGGTGGTGGTGGTGGCTGCAACATGAATGATGCTCTTCTAGGACCACACAGATGCTTTCCAAAGGAAGGGAACTTGATTAATTAGTGACTATGCTCATTTGTCTACCTCCCCAAACCTAACCATTTCCATTTATTCATTTCCCTTCAAATCCTTATTTATCAATTATAATCTTTAATTACACCTACATGATTTATATGATTGCAATCATAGTATACACTTAGACATGATTTATATGATTGCAATCATAGTATACACTTAGACATGAAACTTAAGATCATAACATCATACACAACATGGGAAATACAGTTGTCTTTATAGTTTTCAGTTTAGTAGCGGAATAAATTCCATTATGGGTGATGCTAGGTAACTGGGTTTGGATGAGCTCACCTAGGGCAGATGATACAGAGTGAGACTAGCAGAAGATCAAGAGTAAGTTCTGGGAAAGATAAATATACAAAAGGAGCTAACAAGTTGAGTAGACAACTCCCTCCAAAAAGACCCAGAGAAGTAGGATGAAAAATGGAATGCTATGAGATTCCACAGCAAGGTCAGGCTTAGAATGGAAACTTTCTGCAGTGGGGTGATCTAGATGTTAGGTCAGAACAGGTGACTTATCCAGGGACCTGGCCAAGGTCCTATAGCTAGAAAGGTACAGCACTAGGAAGAACTCAGGTCTTGTGGACTTTTCATACTTTGACACCAACTATTTTCAGCCATGGATACGTTGGAGGTGGGTTCTCATTTTGCACCTCCAAGTCCTTGATATTATGGTGAGAAGGACTTAGGTTTGATATTATAAAGCATTTTTGTGTTTATAAAAGGCTGAATGAATTACAGATGAATTGTGCCACCTTATTTTGAGAGCATACTTCAAAGGAGAGTTGCTGCAAATGGACAGAGATGGGCATAGCAACAGTTTGAATGACCTGGGACTGCACTCAGTCCAGCACTGTTTTACCTCTGCTCTTCATCTGACTGGATTTTTCTTTCCTAAAATTTCCTTGCCTTGTCGTCCCTTTGGACAATGTGGGAAGCTTTAAGGAAATCTAAGGTTCAACTTTTTTTCAAAGGTAAATTTTTAAAAAAACAACACAAAAACAAATAACAAAAAACCAAAACCAAAGACTTTGAGCCAGCCCTTTAATTGTAATTTTTAAAATTTTATTTTGTGTCCTTGCTCGCATGGACATGAAAATCTGCAAAATCCAGTGATTAGCATAAGATGGCATGTGTTTCATGTGAGTGGTATGAAGATAATATGAATGCTCTGAGAATGTGGAGAGGGAAGCTGTGGAGGTGAGAAAGCAGGCAGGGGCCCAGGGCTGGGTTCTAGTGCCGTGAGTGGGCGCCCGTTACAGGTTCACCATCAGCCAGTCCAGCAGCTGCAGCCGTGTCACATTTCCCACCGCCTCGTCTAGCTGTCGCTCCTTCTCATAGCGCAGCACTGACTGCAGGACCTCACCCACGCTGCGTCCTTTGTCCACAGCGGTCGCCGAGAGCTGAAGTAGCTGTGGAGAGGAAAGAGAACAGCAGTGGAGGGACTAGATATATCCTGCCAAGGTTGAGCATAAATAGGCCAGGCAGACTCTGGAGAATGACAGCTGGGGCCTAGGGGGCAGGGGGAACAGGGAGGGGGCCTCAGATGTTGAGAAGACTTCCTTAACTGTCATGTTTGCTGGCCTGTTGGCAATATCACCCTCAATTTAAGGAAAAGATGTCAATGCCCACCTGTCCATACTACGGAAAATGTGAATTCCCATTAAGATCTTAATCTTCCAGTGTTTTTCCCTATAATGCTCTGCTTCTAGAAGGTGTATGGTTAGTCATGTTCATGCTTTCTCAGAATTCTAGAGTGCCAATCTCACTGAACTCATAAAACAGCTTATATCATTGTCTCGGAGTCCTTGTGTGACATTGTAGGATAAGCACTTGACAGTTAACCATGAAGTTGGCAGTTCAAACCCACCAGCTGCTCCTTGGAAACCTTATACAGGGTCACTATGAGTCAGAACCGACTTGACGGCACTTAACAACATCATTGTTTTATGATGAACAAGGGCAAAAGAGAAAATATCCAATGGAAAAAGTAGATGTGGCCTTTCATGCCCCATAGGCCAGAGAAGCCTAGAAGATACCTCAGAAGTCATTTGAACTTCCTTGAAAATGTTGCCTAGAGAGATGAAGAGATTTATCAGTACCACCCTGCTGGTAATTAGCAGAGCTGAAATCCATACCCAGATCTCTGAACCCTATGCTCATTTCTCTTTCTATATACAAAATAATGAAGAATGAATCAAATCAGTCATTCTAATATGAACATAATGCATTACACCATTCTTCCAGGACCTAAGATCAAGCTATCTCAGGTAATCATATTTTATTTTGTGCATTGTACTCCTGAACTTTTATGAGAAAAAGTCAAAGACAAACAAACATGTCAAATATCAGGAGCTTTATCAGAAGGGGACATTTCCATACAAGAAACTGTGTGCATGTGCATGTGTGCATGTGCGTGCACAACTGTGCCTTTCCAAGAGCATGATGAAATTTCTGTGAAGACCAGGTCTGAGGGTCAGTACATATTCAGACCAATGTCTTCTATTTTCCAAATACATTTCTGCCTGTGAAAACCTAGCATCATTAGAGTAGTATCCAAATACTTTAAGATGCTGGCTTATTGACTGATTTTATTGCTAGTTATGTTTTAATGTAACTAAATTATTTGAGAATGGCATTGCCTCTATAATATGGCCAAGTATTCAATGAGAAGTTGTAATGACAGGAATCCGAACACATGTTATGCAAACTGTATGGGAAGAGGAGCACTGGAAGGCAGAGGAAAACCCAGTTACCTTTAGGTCTAGCTCTCTTGGGAATGGTCAAATTAAATCTGAAAATCTTATGGTTAATTATGCCAGTAATGACAAATTGAAGGGGAATGGCATCTTATTTATCTTCAAAAGGAAAATTTCAAGATATATCTTGAAGCATAATGCTGTGATAGGATAATATCCATACGTCTACAAGAACGACCAGTTATTATCACTATTACTCAAATTTACACACCAATCACTAAAGCTGGTGGTGATGAAATTGAAGAATTCTACTCACTTAAGTCTATTAACTTCTTCAGTCTGAAACTGATCAAACATGCAATCAAGATATATTGATAATTACTGGTGATTGGAATACAAAGGCTGGAAACAAAGAGGAAGGATCAGTAGTTGGAAAATATGGCCTCAGTAACAGAAATGTTGCTGGAGATTGCATGATAGAATTTTGTAAGACCAATGACTTATTCATTAAAAATACCTTTTTAAAAAAAATATATAAAAGACAACTAAACACATGGACCTCACTATATGAAATACACAGAAATCAAATTGACTATATCTATGAGACGAGATGGTGGAAAAGTCCCATATCATCTATCAAAACAAGGCCAGGGGCAGACTGTGTAACAGACCATCAGTTGTGCAAATTCAAGTTCAGGCTGAAGCTGAAGAAAATTAAAACAAGTCTAAATATGACCTTGAACATATCCCACCTGAATTTAGAAATAATCTCAAGAACAGACTTGATGCAGTAGATACTAATGTCCAAAGACCAAAAAAATTGTGGGATGATATCAAGAACATCATATAGGAAGAAAGTAAAAGTTCTTTAAGAAGACAAAAAAGAAGGAAAAGTCCAAACTGGATGTCAGAAAAGACTCTGAAGCTTACTCTCCAATGTAGAGATGCTAAAATGGAAGAAATGAGGAGGTAAAAGAGTTGAACAGAAAAATTCAAAGAGCAGCTCGAGGAGAAAAAGTCAAGTATTATAATGAAATGTGCAAAGACCTAGAGTTAGAAAACCAAAGGAAGAACATGTTCAGCATTTTCATTTTTAAAGAAATGAAGAAAAAATTCAAGCCTCAACTTGAAATACTAAGGATTCTGTGGACTCCTGGTGTGGCACTGTTAGTTAATTCACTGGGGTGCAGAGTCTACTTGAGCCAGGAGGCCTGCGGTTCAAGTTTACCAGCTGCTCCTTGGAAACCCTATACAGGGTCACTATGGATTGGTACCTGACTTGACAATACTTAACAACAACAACAATGGGTATAATATTGAATGATACAGAAAGCATCCAAACAAGATGGAAGGAAAAGTCACAGTACCAAAAAGGAATGGTTGATGTTCAACCATTTCAAGAGGTAGCATATGATCAAGAGTCAGTGTTATTGAAGGAAGAGGTCCAAGGCTGACAATGTGGATCAAGACAAGCTATGGATAACATTACAAAGTATGGGTATTCCAGGACACTTAATTGTGCTCATGAGGAACCTGTACAAGAACCAAGAGGCATTTGAACAAGGGGATACTGAATGGGTTAAAAATCAGGAAGATGCATGCCAGGATTTTATTCTTTCATCATATTTATTCAATCTGTATGCTGAGCAAATAATCTGAGACACAGGATTATATGAAGAAAGTGGCATTAGGATTGGAAGAAGACTCATTAACAACCTGTGATATGCAGATGATACAACCTTGCTTGCTGAAAGCTAAGAGACTTAAAATACTTACTGATGAAAATCAAAGACCACAGCTTTCAATATAGGTTGCACCTCAATGTAAAGAAAACAAAAACCCTCATCACTAGACCAATAAATAAAGATATCACTTTGAGGACTAAGTATATGAGACTACTGAAAATACCAAGGATTGGGTCAGGCGCACCTTAGTCTTCAAACTGATATCTTTACTCTTGAACACTTTAAAGACATCTTGTGCAGCAGTTTTGCCTAATGCAATAGGTTGTTTAATTTTTTGACTGCTGCTTCCATGAGTGTTGATAGTGGGTACAAGTAAAATGAAGTCTTTGACAACTTCAGTATTTTCTCCATTTATCGTGATGTTATTTATATGCATGAGGAGTCCTGGTGTGGTGCTGTGGGTTAATGCGCCAGACTGCAAAGCCATTTGAACTTCAAGGTCGGTGGTTCAAGCTCATCAGCTGCTCCTTGGAAACCCTAGACCGGGTCGCTATGGGTCTGAACGGACTCGATGGCACTTAACAACAACAACAACATATGCATGTGAAAGTTGGACAGTGAATAAGAATAGTGAATAAGAAAGTTGGACAGTGAATAAGAGTTACAGTGTTGGAGAAGAATATTAAAAGTACCATGAGTGGCCAGAAAAATAAATTTGTGTTAGAATTAGTGCAACCAGAATGCTCTTTAGACATCAGGATGGCCAGACTTAGTCTCTCATACTTTGGACATACCATCAGGAGGGACCAGTCCCTGAAGAGGGACATCATGCTTGGTAAAGTGGAGAATCAGTAAAAAAGAGGAAGGCCTACAACAAGATAGATTGACACAGTGGTAGCAGGAATGGGCTCAAACATAACAATGGTTGTGAGGATGGCTCAGGGCCAGGCAGAGTTTTGCTCTGTTGTGCACAGTGTCGCTATGAGTCAGAACCGTCTCAACAGCACCTAACAATAACAACAAGAACAACAACATAAGTGCGTGAAGCAGTTTTTAGCACCATCTGGCTACATCATCATCTCTTCTAGTTTATTCTATCCTTCATAGAAGTCTCTGGTACACCTCCATTATGCACTTATATCCACCTAGCCAAGAAGCACACAAATGCCATGTCCTGGGATGGCCTTGTATGATAACTACCATGCATGTAGAATCTTATTATCAGAGGACTTTTACACATTATCCTTACAATGTGTAGAGATGATGGAAGTCTATGGAATCTGTTTTATGGGTGTGACATAGATGAATGGTACAACATAAACTGGAGTAGAGATGAGTTCAGAGGGGGTCATAGAACACATTGCTACATAAATCTTATCTGATGTTTGGAGGAAGTGGTCATAAACTGAACTTCAAGTGATATGACTGGGAAGCTAGCCTTCTTCTAGTCCTATATCAGCTGCTGCTTTGCCCTTTCCTCTGTAGTTTTACAGCTAGTTTAAATCTCCAAGAATGATGCAGTCAACATTTCCGCTTCTTTGTTCAAACAAGGTCTTTGATTCATGCTACTGGATAAATTTGAAGGCATGTTTTATTCATCTTTATTTACCTCAAAAAAATTTTTTTTTTAACAAGACAGGATACAAATAAATGAGTCAAAAAAAAAGTTGATATTTGAGACTTTTACCTATACTCAGGATACACTGGTTGATCTCTTTTCCATGATGGGGGCCTCAATAAAACAATACTAAAAAAGATATTGTATGCCCTTGCACACACTGATTTATGAAAGCTAGGAAGTGGATGGAAAAGGGATAATTTATCTGAGAAGTATGCTACAATGTAAGTGTCCACAGAGGGATAATGACAAGAAGGAAGCTGACTCACACATTACAGAGTGTTGGAAAGGCCGGGGTTTTAGAAGAAACTGGTCCTAGACAAGATGGATACAGTACTAGGCTGAAAATGTGGGGGATGGAAAGCAGGGGTTGCTTAAAAGTCTGTATATAAAGGATTCAAATTCTGTGT